TGAGGGGATTTTGGGGGGTCCTGAGAGGATTTTGGGGATCCTGAGGGGATTTTGGGGATCCTGAAAGGATTTTGGGGGGCCCTGAGGGGATTTTGGGGATCCTGAGGGGAATTTCAAGGATCCTGAGGGGATTTTAGGGGGTCCTGAGGGGATTTTGGGGATCCTGAGAGGATTTTGGGGATCCTGAAAGGATTTTGGGGATCCTGAGGGGATTTTGGGGGGTACTGAGGGGGATTTTGGGGATCCTGAGGGGATTTTGGGGGATCCTGATTGGAATTTTGGGGATCCTGAGGGGATTTTGGGGGATCCTGAGAGGATTTTGGGGATCCTGAGGAGATTTTGGGGATCCTGATTGGAATTTTGGGATCCTGATTGGAATTTTGGGGATCCTGATTGGAATTTTGGGGATCCTGAGGCAGATCTGAGGGGGATCTCAGGGGGGTCTCAGTGGAAACCAAAGTGCGAATAAGAATTTGGGGGGGGGGGGTCACTCACCGGCCTCTCCCGCCGCCTCCACCACGAGGGTCCCGCCGGGAGGGTCCTGAGGGGGAGGGGGAGGGGCAGAGAGTGCCGTGAGGGGCGCGCCCCTCCCCCGCGGCGGACCCCGCCCCTCCCCCCGCTCACAGCTACCGCCCGAATGCCCAAAACCTCTCAAAACCCCCCAAAAAAAACCCCAAACCGCCCGAAAACGCCCCAAAGAGCGGCCCCGGCTCGGCCTCCCCTCAGACCTCGGCGCCTCCCGCCGCCTCCATCGCCGCGCGCGGTGACGTCAGCACGCAGCGCGTAGGGGGCGTGGCCGCGCCTTTTATGGGCGAAGCCACGCCCACCGCGCGGGCTTTGTGCTGCCGATTGGCCACGCCTACCGAGCGAAGCCACGCCCTTCGCTGTAAGCCACGCCCACCAAGCCAAGCCACTCCCCTCTGTTTAAGCCACGCCCACTGCCTTAAGCCACGCCTCTTTGTGTTTAGGCCACGCCCATGTGGAATTTTGGGGGGTCCTGGTGGTTCGGGACCCCCCAAATTGTCCCGAAAGGGCTCAAAAAATGGCGCTGAAAACGAATAAATCCGCGAAAAATGAGGAAAGGACAAAAATTAATGAATTCGAAAAAGTGAAAAAACTCATAAAAATTCAGAAATTGCCCAAAAAAATCCCAGAAATTTAATGAATCAATAAAAGCTAATCAATCCCCAAAAACTAGTACATTCTAAAATACAATAAACCCCCCCAAAAATGTATAAATCCCAAATAAATTAATAAACCCCCAAAGTTGTATTAATGAATGCCCAAAAATGGAGAAAATCCTCCAAAAACAACTAAATTTTAAAAATTAATCAAATGTCAAAGTCATTAATCCTTAAAAATTAATAAATCCCAAAAATTAACCAATCTCTAAAAATTAATAAATGCCAAAAAATAAATTCCCCAAAGTAAGTCCCATACAAATTTATAAATCCAAAAAAATTAAATTCATAAATCTTCCCAAAATGAATCCCAAAAAATAAATACAAAAGAAAAAAAACCCTAAGAAATAACTCCTACAAAAATTAGTAATTCCCCCAAAATAAATTGCAAATAAATTAATACATCCCAAAATTAAATAAAGAAACCCCCACAAAAATGAATTCCCCAAAAATAAATGAACAAATCCCAAAAAAACAACTAAAAACCCATTTTAAATTTTTTTCAAAATCCATTTATTAGAAAAAAAAAAAAATTCAAAAAAAACCTCCGGGGTTGGGGGAGGGGTCCCACGCCCCTCCCCCACCCCAAAACGTGTCTCACACCCCCCCCAAAATCCCCCAAAAGGGACCCAAAATTCTCCTTTCTACCCCCTAAACCCCTGCCAAAAAACCCCAAATTTTGGGGTCACCTCCCCCACCCCAAATCCCTCCCCCACCCCCAAAACCTTCCCCTCCCCCACCCCTCACTACAACCTAAGGGGGTCCCCAAATCCTAAAATCTACAAAACCCCCCAAAAAATCTGGGGGGAATCCCCAAAAAAATCAGGGGAGTCCCCAAAAATCTGGGAGGAATCCCTAAAACATCAAGGGGGACCCCCCAAAAATCCCCCGAGACCTTGAGAGCCCCGAATTTACCCAGAGAGGCCAAATTTGGGGGGATGCCCCCAAAAAAATCAGCCTTATTCAGCTCATTTTGCCCAAAATCCCCAAATTTTGCCGGTTTTGGGTTTTTTCCCTGTTTTTTCCAGCTGGATTTTCAATGGGGACCCCAAAATTTGTCACTCAGGTGGCCCAGGAACCCCAAAATTTGTCACCCAGGGGTTCTTCCTCACCATTTTGGGTTCTTTCCCCATATTTTGGGGTCCTTTCTCCCCATTTTGGGGTCATTCCTCCTCATTTTGGGGTCATTTCCCCTGATTTTGTCATTGTTCCTCCCCATTTTGGGTCTCCCCACTTTGTTCCAGGAAGGATTTGGGTGTCCAGGGGTCACTCCGTGGTCACTCCATGGTCACTCTCTGGTCACTCTCTGGTCACTCCATGGTTACTCTGGTCACTCTGTGATCACTCTCTGGTCACTCTCTGGTCACTCCATGGTTACTCTGGNTCTGGTCACTCTCTGGTCACTCCATGGTTACTCTGGTCACTCTGTGATCACTCTCTGGTCACTCTCTGGTCACTCCATGGTTACTCTGGTCACTCCGTGGTCACTGTGCTCACTCTGTGATCACTCTCTGGTCACTCCGTGGTCACTGTGCTCACTCTGTGATCACTCTCTGGTCACTCTCTGGTCACTCCATGGTCACTCTGTGATCACTCTCTGGTCACTCTCTGGTCACT